GCTCTACCACTGAGCCACAACCCCAGCCCCTCTCAATTCTTTTTTTTCCAATTCTTTACTTTTCCTTGCCGACCTAATAGAATGTCAGCACACAGTAGGTACTCAATGAATGCATAGTGAGTGAACAGGACCGTGAAGGAGGCATGGCTGTCACTCTGACCAAGCACAGGAAATAGGACAGTTGTACCAGAGAGATGAAAGGCTGGGCCCTCAGCCCGATGCGCGCAGTCTTCCAACACGCAGCAGTCTCAGCAGTCCAGCTGTGGAAGCCCCAACACCCTGACGGGAAAGAACCCTTGCTTCTTAACATCCCAGCTGACCGCTGAGGCTGCTGGCCAAACGCTCAGCCCCATCCCGGCTCCCAGGGGAGTCACCCCAACCCTGCCCACCTCCCACACGGGATCAGGGCTAGGTGCACTTGTGGGTTCCATGCATTATTAAAAAGCATCGAAAGGGCAGGAGGAAGCACGTCCGAGGCCAGCCCGGGAAACTTGGCAAGACCCTGTCTCAATGACACGCAAAAAAGGCTGGGGTGCGGCTCAGGGTGGGGCGACTTGCCCAGCGTGCGCCAGGCCGGGGTGCAGCCACGGGGCCGATAAAGGAATAGGAGCAGACAGGCGGGTTCGCCCCGGGGCGCCGCGGCCGGGGGAAGCGAGGCCAGCTGCGGCTCGGCCGCGGGCGGAGGCGGGTGGTCCACCCGTCCGGGGTCGGTTTGCCCTCGGCCGCCGGCACGGCCGGGGTCCGGGCCCCGGCGGGCGGCGTCCTCACCAGTTCTTGGCCAGCTGGAGGTAGCGCGGGCCCAGGAACCGGGACAGCATCGCTACCAGTCGGCACGCTCAGGGTCACCGTGTCCCACGGCGCGCATGCGCCAAGACGTGGCCGCCCTTCGCCCGACCGCTGCGCGCGCAGGCCCGGAAGGCATTCGCAGCCACTTCCGGGGAGCGTCGGTAGGTGGACCGCGGTGGGCGGGGCTTTAGGCCCACGTGGCCGGGGGCGGTCGAGCTCACCGGAGCGGTTGGGGTCCCTTCTGCGCAGCCGCCTGCGGCTCCAATGTGTCCTGTAGCGGCCGAACGGTGACTTTGGGCCCCGCAGCATCTGCTTGTGACTTACAGCGACGGAAATAGACCCGACGGGAAAGAGGCGCGCCCAGGAGGGCGGGCACTGAACCCACTCGCAGGCGGGAGGGGTCGTCATTGACTCGCCGTGGGAGGGACTGTGGCCGAGTGGCCGTGCCTCCCAGAGCCCTAAGGGTGCATCCACTTGTTGCCTCGAGGCCCGAGGAAAGTCTTTCCGCAGGCTTTCCGGCTTTGGTGCGGAGTGAGCCTGAGCCCGTGCCTGCGAGGCAGCGCTCTCCGGCCGAGCCGCCCGCCCGCCCCGTCCGCCCGCGGGTATGGCTGGAGGACGCTGGGAGCCTTCCTTCCCGCAGCACAGGGAAGTCTCGGGCCCTCGCAGCCGAAGCCGGCCRGTGCTCCTCGTCGTCAGCCTCCCGGCCTTGCGCCCCTGCCTCCAGCGGCCTCCAGAGCCCGGCCCGGCCAGGGCGCTCAGTAACCCCCGCCTTCCAGCCCCACCTCGTGCACGCACACCCCGGAGGAAGGGGGACCCGCCGCCGAATCTGGCTCTCGTCACCAAGCCCTGCCTCCTTCAGGAAGCCCAGCACCTGGATAGAATGGGAGAAAGGCTAGAGGACCCGGCTCTCGGCCTCTTGGGGCCTGGTGGTTTGGCAGTGACCCAGTGGTTTGGCCTGCTCTGCCCTGGCGGTCGGGGTCCTGCCTCTGCCCCAGGCCAACGGACCATAGGCTCTGCCACAGTGTGGACGATTGCCCTGGTTTGGGGTGTTTAGGATTAGGAAGCACTTGAATAAGACTGTGTCCGTTGGTGGGGTGTAGAGGCCGGCATGAGGCCTGTGGAGGGAACGGGGAGGGTGCTGGCTGAAGGAGTGAGCAGGGGTCAGGCAGGGTGCTCTGCTGCGGCCCGATCCAGCAGTTCTTGAAGGCCTGCATCGCTCCTCCTGGCTCTGCTGAACGAGGAAGCCTGAAGGCAGCAGTCTCACTCCRGAGGCAGTTCTGTCCCAAGAGGACTCCGGGCCGTCTGGGGACACTGGTGACTGTCACGATGGGGGTGCCCTGGCATGGAGTGAGTGGAGGCACGGAGCTGCTCAGCATCTTGCACTGCCCTTGCCGCACACCAGAGAAGAACCAGTCCCGAGAAGAATGACCCTGTTCTCATCCTAGTGACTTTCATTTGCAACCTTGAATGCCCTCCAGCAAACGGGTCCCGGTCTCAGCGTGCGTAAAGACAGGGCTCACTCTTAGAGGGCAGGAGGCTCCGAATGGCTGGCCCCTGGGGCCACCCCTTCCAAGGGGTCGGGTCAAGTTCAGCGGTGAAGGGCACAGACAGCAGGAGCCCCAGTAAGCAGCGGAAGGTGGAGGAGTCTGGCGCAGGGCCCCAACAAGCCTCCGCTACAGCCCCGCCTCCTCGAGCGGCTGTGCCTGTAGTTTGCAGGGGTCTCCTTCTGAAGAAGCGGTAAACGCCCCTCAGGGGCTTTAGGGAGCCTTGGGAGGTTTTAGCGGAGAAATAGCAAGGCCCACCTTTTCTTCCAGTATTGATGATTGAAGCTGGAGAGACACGTGCTAGTCAGGCCCCTGTCACTGAGCCACATTCCCAGCTTTTTATTTTGAGACAGGTCTTGTTAAGTAGCCAGGCTGATCTCAAAYTTACAATCCTGCCACAGCCTCCTGGGTAGCTGGGATCACAGGCGTGTGCCACCATGCCTGGAGCATGCCCACAGTTCGAGCAGCAGACGGGTCGAGGCTAGAGGCAGGGGTCCCCCTGAGAAGCCAGCTGCAACAGTACAGGGAGACAGGAGTTCTGCAACTCGCATCCTCKGCTTGGAGCCCAGCATCCGGATACCCAATCTCCTTTCCAGTGCAGGTTCCCACCTCCCCTGCAGAGCTTTGGATGCAGCTGTTCCCTGGGGGGGGGTCAGTGGTATACAAGCACTGGACCACTGGGCAAGCTGCTCTCTCTTGGGGTAGGCGTCAGGGGCACCAAGGGTTGAAGACCAACCCTCCTGACCCCTTCTCTCCTGTCAGCACATCACACTGGACAGACTCAGGATGGCCAACATCAGAGGTGTTATAAACAGGACAGGATCCTTTAAAAATCTCAAATAATCTAGCCAACTGAGCCAAAAAACAATGTTTTTTTTTTGTGGTACTGGGCCCAGGGCAAGTGCTCTGCCACTGAGCTGTGTCCCCAGCTTGTTTTACTTTTTATTTTGAAATAGGGTCTTGCTAAATTCCCCAGGATGACCTCCAACCCTCCAACTTGGGATCCTCCTGCCTCAGCCTCCACATAGCTGGGCTGCCAGGTATATGCCATGCCTGGCTATAAATTTGTTTTCCTTAAAAATATTGTAGTTGTTGATTGACCCCGCACTTTATTCATTTATTTCTATGTGGTGCTGAGAATTAAACATGTGCCTCATACATGCTAGGCAAGTGCTGTACCACTGAGCCACAACCCCAGCTCCTAAACATTTTTTAAAACCCAGTTGTTCTGCCAGGTATTCTAGAAATGCACACCTATTATCCCAGCAGCTGGCGGGACTGAGGCGGGAGGATGCAAGTTCAAAACCAGGCTTAGCAACTTGGTCTAAAAGGGCTGGGGCTGAGTGGCTGATCACACCTAGTTCAACACCTGGTATAGAAAAGCATACAACAAAGCTCCCCCAAACAAGATTCCCAGTTATGCTGAGGCCCTCACCTGTAGCCGAGGACCTTCCCTCCCACCGTGGTGTTTCCTCTCATGCTGAGCTCATCTCAGCTTGGAAATTGGATGAGACCTCAGGGTCTCCTCAGCACTGCCCACTGGACCCCTGGGCAGGACTACAGGCAAATAAAGGGTAAACCGAGGCTGGCTTCCCATGAGGGAGCTCCCAAATCACCAAGGCGCACGGGAGTTCCCCAAGCCAGGCCTTGCCCTGGAGCCCAGGTCCCCAGCGGTCTCAGGAGCCATCGGGGGTACCCAGGATGCTGGTGTGCAGAATGCAGACAACTGGGTTCCAGAAGGCCTGTGCAGGAGCAGGTTACCCCATGGTTGGACAAGTGACACGTCTGGGACTGGGGGGGCTGAGATGCTGTTTTGGACCCAGGACAGTCCCATGCCAGCCAGGACCAACTGGTTTCCCCAGCTACTGACAGGAGACCAAGAAACAGTGCATGGTGAGCCTGGGTGAGGGACCAGAAGGCAGGTGGGCCCCAGGGTGACTTTCTTGGGCACAGGAACCCTCCTGCGTCTCACTACACAGCATTGGGTTGAGGGCAGCTGGTGCAGCCATAGCACACTCCTGGATAAGCTCCGGCCATCTGTCCACACCAGGGTGGCCATTTGTAATGTGGCCAAGGGCCAGAGTGGGGAGGGAGCTTGTCCTGTTCCAGACTCCCAGGCAGCAGCCCCTCTGCCAATCCAGAGAACAAGCTGTGGCTGCCAACACCATCCTCCTGGGCTGTGGCCTCCATGCAAGATGTCATTAGTCCCAAAGAACCCCGTTTCAAGCTGGGGACATGGCTCAGTTGCATGTACATGGATATGGGCTTGCACGCCTAAGGCTCTGGGTTCAACCCCAGCACCCCCCGCACGGAATCCCTTATTTTAAAGATGTGCTGGGTCCCCAGGGAGACAGCACAGAGCCTTGGGGATAAGGCAGGTGGGGAGAGCCAGGTTGAGCCACCCTGAGGAAGAGAGGTGGAGGGAGCCCGTGGGGAAAGGCACAGGGGCCACTCTAGAGCCCTGCTGAGCACAGCTGCCAGAGGGTGTGGGGAGGTGAGCCGCAGGTCAACGCTGGTCTTGATAGGACTTTTAATAATCTGGTTGATCATAAAAGGCACTGCTCACGTCTAGAAACAGCGAGACAAGACTTTTATACCAAAAAAAAAAAAAAAAAAAAATTGCTTACAAAACATATGCAAAAGAAAGCTTAAAAAAAAAGGCATCCTCCTTACTAATTTTCTTCTACATTAAAAAAATCTCATAACTAATGTTCTTTTTTATTTTCCTTAAAAAAAATATTATGCTTAGGCACGATTTGCTGGTGGCTTCTGAAGAACAAGCCAGGTTTGCACAGCATCACCCTCGATGGAGTGAAGAGTTTCGGTTCTTCCACGTTTTACATAGTTAAGGCATAATTTTCTTCTTTCTGACGAAGTGTACTTTGTTGCTTGCTTTCTGGTTTCGCTCAACTCCCCCCACCAATGCTCCTGTGGCCCGTCACGGAGCCAAGATGGACTTCTGGATCTGCAGCAGGCAGTGGGCAGCCAGGGGTGGAGCAGGCAGGGCCACCAGGCATCCCCTTCGGAGCCCGGTGGGTGCTCCTGGCTCAAGGGTGGCAATGTTGCTCCATGCACCCCAAACCTAGAGTAGGAGAGTGAGCTGGTCCCTCGTCCAGCGGGGCCATCCTCACATGTGCCCGGCAGGGTTGTGGGCCTCACTCAAGCCAGGGTGGGCGCCTGAGAGCACCATCTGGGGGTCTCCGACCACGCCCGACACCTTCTCCTCCTCTCGCCGCTTCAGGCAAGCCGCCTTGGGGTTCAGGTTCCGCTCTGGGGAGAGGGAGAGGGCTGTGGGAAGAGGGTCCCCAGAGGGCCGCGAGCACTGCAGGGGTGGGCAGGGCCTGCACGCCTCTGTCTCCTGGGTGAGAGGGCCGTCAGGGGTGCAGGGGCTGCCGAGACCAGGAGTCCAGGTGTCGGGGACGGCAGGGTCCTGCTGCGGCCACAGGAGGGCCGCGGGCTCAGGCCTGCCCAGGACCCAGGTCTGCAGGGGGGGAGGCCGGCCTGGGGTCCTACCTCGCACCTGCTGCTCCAGGCCCAGGATGACCTGCACGGCCTGCTGCAGGATGAGCAGCTTGGTCTGCGCCTTGTCCGACTTGAGGTGCAGCTGGCACATGCGCCCCAGCTCCCGGAAGGCCTCGTTAATGTCCCGCACACGCACCCGCTCCCGCGCGTTATTGGCCATGCGCCTCTCCCGGTCCCTCAGGTCCTTCTCCTCCAAGGACAGCACCTCTTCTGTACTGCTGGGTCACAGCACCGGGGCCTCTATTAGTGTCCAGCCTGGGCAGGCCGGGTAGGGCCAGGTGTGGAGAGGGTGCAGCTGGCTGTGTGTGTGTGTGTGTGTTTTACAGGCCAGTGCTGGCCTGGCGCAGGTGACACCTGGTGTTGGCATAGGGCAGGCGAAGGCTACTGGTGCACAGCTGTGAGGGTGACGATGCTGGTGTAGCTGAGGGTGACGGTGTTCGTGTGGTAACAGCTAGTGTGGGACGGCATGTGGGTGATGGCTGCTGGTGGTGGAGGGCAGTGTATTCACACCCACAGGGGTGTGACCTCAGAGGCTTGTGGCTGTGCCCCTCAGACCCAACTGGAGTCTAGGCTGTGTGTGGAGAAGGACCAAGGCCTGACTGTCCCCAGCTACCAACATGACGGGAGGCCCTGGCTGAGGACACTGAACCCTGGCTGCTCCACCACCCCTCCTGGCCGCTCCTCCCAAGACGACGATCTTCCCACAAGAGCAGTGCCTGCTGGGTGATGGCGCACTAGCACAGCTTGGCCTGCCCAGGGGGTCAGCCCAAGGGAAGTGAAACAGTCCACCCTGAGATCCCCCCAACTCCAAAAAGCCCCTGAAATGCGCGTGTTCCCTTGGTGGACTCTGGCTGCCCCAGGCTGGGCCGGAGGGGCCCTGAGCTCTGAGCCCTTCAAAGGACCTGCCTCTGGGTGAAGCAGGGGTTCCAAGTTCCTGGGCCAGAGGGCACCCGGCTTAGCACTGGGCCCCTCGCCATGCCAGAGTCTGGAGCAGACCAGATGACCACCTGCCAGGGCGCAGTCCTGGCCCAGACCCAAAGCGCTGTGTGGTCTGGACCCGAGACCTCACTTCCCACGCCTTGGTTTCCTTCTTAGGACAGTGGGTGCCAATCACCCATGAACCCTGCTGCTCTGACTGGCTGAGACAAACAGAGGAAGGCGCGGCCCCCCGACATCAAGAGCAGGGAGCCTGAGTCTGAAGGCCTTTTTTGCTCCTCTGGGGGAGGGCTGCCCTCCCCCACTCCCTGCCTCCCTGCCCCCTGCCTCCTGGGGCCTGGGTGGATCCCTGGGGAGGCAGCGGCCTGGGGCCCAGGACAAGCGCGCAGACCAAACTGAACCAGAGGCTGGCAAGCCCTGGTCCTTTCCTTCCCACAGGCCTGGCAGGCTTGGGGAGAGGAAAGGCTCTGGGCTGCAGCCACGGCCATCCTGGGGTTGGGCAGCAAGTGCGAGGTGAGGAGGGGCCACCAGTGGGGAGCAGAGGACGCAGGGCTGGGGTGGAGGGGACAGCAAGAGGCAGAGAGCAGAGAGGTGGGCTTGGGCACGAGGGCAGGACGTGCACACCGCCATGGAGACGTGGAAACTCAGAGCTGAGGGGACAGAGGCCGGGCCGGGACTCTGGCTCCGGTCCAAGCGACAGTGCTGCAGGAAAGAAAGGGTTAACAGGGCCACGCAGGAGCAGAAGAGGTTAGGGAAGCAGCTGCCAGCAGCAGTGGGCATTGGGCCACTGGGAATGGGATGGGCCTTCACCTTCCTCACCCAGCCCTGGTGGCCGCCCCCCTGCAGACAGGGAAACTGAGCCAGAGGAGTGGGGTCAAGGACTCATCTGCTTAAGCCAAATGGCCAAGAGTGGTTTAGATGCCAGCTTGGCCTCTGGGCTCCAGGGCACGCTGGCCCTGAGAGCTAGGCTCTAGGCTTCCTGAGGAGGGGGTAGGGTGGGCTGTGGCCCCTGGGCTAAGGAGACAGCCATGAGCAAAATACCCAGGTCTGCTCGACCCGAGTCCAAGAGTCCGACCCTCCCATCCCAGGACTGGACCCTGGGGTCAGCAGGGGGAAGGTCCTTGCAGGGAACAAGGGGCTGGCTGCAGGGGGTGGCTCCAGGAAGCGAGGGTGGTGACTAGGAAGTCACCGCGAAGGGAGGGTTGGCGCCAGGAAGGGAGAGCGAGCAAGGGCGGAGCGCGGGAGGGGGCGGCGCGCTGGGCGCTGGTGGCCGCGCCCCACTGACCTCGCACTTGCTGCTCCAGGTTGAGGATGACCGACACGGCCTGGTGCAGGATGAGCAGTTTGGTCTGGGGCTTCTCACTGTTGAGGTGCAGCTGGCACATGCGCCCCAGCTCCTTAAATGCCTCATTGATGTCCCGGACCCGCAGCCGCTCGCGGGCGTTATTGGCCACCCGGCGCTCCTTCTCCCGCTCGGCCTTCTGCTCTGGGGGGAGAAGGTCGTCCTCGTCCTCGTCTGGGCTACGGGGGAGGGGGGCCGGGGGCCAAGGGAGACAGTGAGGAGGGGGCGGGCGTGGCCCGCGACCCTCGGGTGGGCGGAGTGCGTGTGCGCTGGAGTGCGTGTGCGCTGCCGAGTGCGTGTGCGCGGAGCGTCCTGCGGGGGCGGCAAGGGACGGGGCGGGCTGGCACCTGGTCCGCGTGCGGGGGCCCTTCAGCTCCTTCTTCTCCTCCTCGGAGTTGTCCGCCACCGAAGTGTTCTCTTCGTCCTCCTTCTCCTCGCGCTTGATCTCGCCGGTGACCACCGCAGCTCCTGCTCGCCCAAGTCCTGCAATAGGCCTGGCATCAAAGGCTGTGGCCCGGCCAGTAATGGCCTCCAAGACTACCTGACCAGCCCCTTTGACGCTCCTGTCATAGGTCTTTGATCTCAAGGAAAAACAACAGCGACAATGACAATGACCACCACCACAACAAAAAAACAGAAAACGGCGACACACCAATCAATCATCCAGAGCTGGGCCTCTACCCACACCAGAGGCACCAGTTCCACCAGAACAGAGCCGCCTGGGGAAACGGGGCTTCAGGACTCTCAGGAGGGGGCAGGTGAACAGGTCTGGGGAATCCTGGAGCGGCGGCCAGCTCGTGGTGGAGCGCTTGCCCAGCACGCGAGGCCCTGGGGCATAGCCCTAGCATCCTAACCAACCAACAAAAAGCCAACTAAAGAGCTTTTTTGGGGAGGAAATCATTATTTAATGAAAAACAGGGGGAGGCACTTCAGGGCTTTCACGCCGTCCTCGCACAGAGGCCACTGGTAACAGCTGAGCTGCCAGAGGGCACACCAGAAGAGCTCCTCCAACAGCATCAGCAGGCGGGCGCGGGCGCAGCCTGACAGCGGGAGGTCAGCCTCTGCAATGTAGAGGGATGGCAGTGCACTCGGTCCCACCTAGCACTGCAGAATCCCCGAGCCCGCACACTGAACGGTATCCACGTTTAGAAGTGTGTGAGTGTGTGTGTGTGTGTGTGTGTGTGTGTGTGGGTCTTCCTGCATGGCCGGGCTGGGCCTGAGCTCTCTCCCTGCCTCAGATGCCCAGACAATGAGAAGACAGGCAGGCACCAGGGGACCCGGCTCAAAATGACCAGAATACACCAGAATGAAAGTGTCACAGGCAGACAACATGCATGACCTGCATAGCCAGTAATGGACTGCTCTCCAAAACACGCAGAGCGCCCTGGGGTCAATGCAATGGGAGGACAAGTCCAGAAAACAGGGGCCCAGCCCAGACGGGCTCTGCAGGCAGAGCTGCCCCTGTTCTCCCCTTCTGTGGAGCTGGGGTGGAACCCAGGCTGTGGGCATGCGAGGCGAGCACTCTGCCAGCTGAGCCGTGTCCCCAGCCCAGGGAGCCTCCTTCACCAAATCAAGAAACACCGTTCAACCCGGTGAGGCAAGAATGGAGCTGCACATTGGGACGTGCCGTGCATGGATCGGAGGCTGGCACCTGTTTGAAGAAGTGGACAGGCACGCCAGGAACCAGGTGCAGACCAAGCCTCTACGACACCATGGCCGCGGTGTTCAAACACTAGGGCAGCAGAGTGCCTGGTCTCAGGGCCTCCACCCTGGACTCTCCCTGAGATGCTGCAATTGAAATGGCAGCTGTGGAAATGTCCTGGGGTTCAAAAAACCCAGGGAAGGGCAGGACAGGACCCTGGGGAGGTGGGACTAAGGCCAGGGCTACCCCAGCACTGTGGGCACACACTGGGTGGTTCCCTGGCCACGCCCATGACATGGCCACCGGAGGGCGCCCCTGAATCCCAAGCAGGTCCAGTCCTGAAGAGCTGCCCAGGTCCTCCCTTCCTGGGCTCCAGCAGCCTGGCGGGCCCCAGCCTTCACAGTCCTGCCCGCACTCGGCCCGCACCTGGTCTGTTCCCCAGTCTCCCGCTCACTGCCCACAACAGTACCGGGTACCCAGGTGGTCAAGGCAGGGCCGCCACGTCATGTGCTGAGAGGCCTGTGCCAGCCCTGCTCCCCCCAACACCACCCGCCAGCAGCCTGTGTCCCCAGATGCCCGCAGGAGTCCCACCTGAGGAGCAATGCAAGCCCCCCGCCCTCTGAGTGCCAGGTCCAACCTCCTGCCACAGCGTCCTCAGCAGCACACGGGGCCCTGGAATCCTGCATCCGTGGCCACCGTGGACATCTGGCAGGGCAACAGGGCCACACTACAGCTCTGCTCAGGCTGGGGAGACTGCCTGGCCCCTGGCAGCACCGTCCCTGGACTACCCGAGCCCGCACTGCAGAGGACAGCAGCGGGGTGGGGGTGGGGGRACAAGCAGTCTGGTGCCTGGACTCACCACTGTAGGAGTCAGGCGGCCGCGGAAGGTCAGGCAGGGTGCCAGGCTGGCTGGGCAGAGCAGTGTGGTTGTGCAAGAGGCTGGTGCTGCCCGCAAGTCCGTCTTCAGGGTGGTTGCCCCCCACCTGCAGACGGGGCAGGGGTGCCGTCAAGGTGGGTGGCCCCAGCCCCACCCCCCAACCCTGCCGGAGGCTCACCAGGCCAGCGTGCCGACCACCCAGTGGCAAGGGGCCCACGAAACCAGAGACCAGTGCCCCGGGGCCAGGCAGCAGCCCATGTACGTCGCTGGCTGTGCCCACGGCGTGGCTGCGAAGCACGTGGATGGCCTCGTCCAGGTGGTCTTCCATCTTGCTCTGTGGGGCACAAGGAGGGCGTGAGGGGCCGCTGCGGTCCTGCCCAGGAGCTCTGCACACTGGTGGGCTCCACCCACCTCTAGCCCAGACCCTTCCTCACAAGCACCTCCTGGTCAAAGGGCTGCTGTCCCCTGCAGTCCTGCTGCCTGGGGACAGGACAGACAGGCCACCCACCCCCATGGCAAGGCAGGGTCACTCACCAGGCCGGGGAGACCCCCGTCATAGCTGGGCGATAAGGCACCGGGGGCCCCTGCTCGAGGCCACTGCGACGTCCCTGGAAGGGCAGGAGATGTGTGGATGGGGGACAAGCATCAGGGTGTCCTGGGACACAGGGAGCCACAGCCCTGGGGAAGGGGCATTCCCCACAGCTGGGCATCCTCTAAGGCTCAGGGTGGCCACTTGGGGATGCCCTATGCAAACAAAAGCACAGGGAGGGCATCTTGGCCCCACCGGGCCCTGGCCAGCTGCCCACCAAGCCCACCAGCTTCCATCAGCAGCCAGTGCCTGGGAGGGAGGCTCCTCCATATCCTGCCCCACATGCTCTGAGCTCCAGCAGCAGTAGGGGAAGTGGTTAGCTCCAGGAGACTGCACAGGTCCAGGAAAAGCCTGGGTTCCTGAGGTTTCTCACAGGCAGAGGCGAGGACCAGGGGTAATGTTGGCACAACCACCCAGGCCAGCCAGAAGGCCCCAGCACTCACTTCCTCTTGTACCCAGCTGATGCTGGGCACAACTGAGCAAGGACAGAGGTGGCACGGGCCACAGCTGGCACCACCTGCTCTCCATCAGGACAGCAAACAACAGCGGGCATGGGTCTGAGCCAGAGGGTGGCCTAGCTCCTGGACGCAGACCCTCTGCACCCGCCTGGTGGCTGCAGTGTGAGCCGCCAGGTGCCACCTCTGGGCCTCATTCACACAGGGCCTCTCCTGTGCTCGAGGACACCTGCAGTCCACCTCCAGGGAGCCCTCCTGGCCTGCTCAGGGCACGGCTCACAGCAGGCTCTGCCCCATCCGGCCCCATCCCCGAGGCTGCGAGACCCCAGGGGAGCAAACCCGTGACCTGTGGGCCCAGGCCCCCACTTACCCGGCAGGCCCTGCGGGGAGCCCACAGGGGTCGAGGGGCTGGGTGAGAAGGTGCTGCTGGAGTGGTCCGGGGAATAGATCTGTGCAGCAGAGGAGCGGGGGTCAGAGGCTGGCCGGCAGCGTCCCCAGCCCGCCTCCCGGGCCCCATGCCTCACCGAGGCCAGCGCCTTCCCAAGGGCATCCCCAGAGCTGCCGGCCGTGGTCCCACGGGAGCCTGTGGGTGGAAAGAGGCGAGGGCCAGCCTYGAGGTCAGGTGTCCCGTGTGAGGAGGCCCCATGACACCTGCCATGCTGAGGTGAGGCCCTGGGGACCGCAGCAGGACTTGGAGTGAACTAGGCCCCCAGCCCCTGTGTCCCTGGTTGTGGGGGGGGGGGGAGATACCACTCCAGGGTCCTTCCAATGTCCCCTGGGGCCACCCCACAGCGGAAGCCATGGTGACTAAGGACCAGTTTCTCCAGCCACGCCGAGGCATCCCCGGCTGGGCTAGCTCAGGGAGGCCGTGTCCCGGGGGTGGCCGTACCGAGGAGGCCCTCAGTCCCACTGACAGGCGGCGTGTGGCTGGAGACGCTGCTGTAAGGCGCTCCGGGGGCTGAGGAGAAGGTGGACACAGCTGGAAGCCCGCCATTGACCTCTGCTCCATGCAGCTGGTAGCCCTGGGGGACAGCAGAGGATCAGGCAGTGTTGCCCAGGCCCTCCCGCCCACCCGCCTGCAGCCCAACCAGGCCTACCATGCGCTCATGCTGGTGCAGGCTACTGAAGGTGCTACTGCCCACAGGACCGCTGCTGCCCGGTGTCAGGGGCAAGGGGGACGAGCCACTGCCCAGCATGGACCCGAAGCCTGCCTGGCCAGGAGTGCTCCAGAGCTCGGCCGAGGGGTGCAGGCTGCCATCTGTGGGGAGCGCAGGTGAGACGGGCACAGAGGGCCCCAGCCACCCCGGGCGAGCCCCACCCACCTGCCACGTAGAAGGGGGCGGGGTAGGCGCTGCTGGGGGTCTTGGCAGAGGGGTAGGCGGCTGTGTCCCTGCCAAAGTCGTCCCCGGAGCTGGGGGGGTACACCTGCAGGTTCAAGGACAGGGGCACTGGTCGTCCAGCCTCCCTCCCGCGGCTCTGAGCTGTGGGTGCCCTGGTCCTGCCCCGGCCACCTTTGCAGCCAACTCCGCTCCTGCCAAGCCCCCAGCCATTCCCTTTGCTCTCCTGCCACCCGGCCAGGGTCCTCCATACCGGGGCCTCCCTAAGCCCCAGGTCTGGCCACCCGAGGGCAGCTACGGCAAAGGGCCCACCACCACTACCCCTGGTGCTCCTGGACTTCAGGCCAACAGAGACATGGACACCTGCTGTGAGCGAGGCTGGACCAGGGCCCCAGGGGCTCCGTTCTGCCCCGACGCGTGGTGTGGCTCCCAAGCAGAGCCCCAGCGCTCCAGGCCCGACTGAGGTCCTGGCACCTGCATGCCTGGGCCTCCCTCCCTGTGTCCCCTCTGCTTGCCCCCACCCCAGTTATAGGCCCGACAAGGAAGGAGGGCCCTGGGCCAGGGCAGCAGGTGCCTGGCCTCTGCTCATGCTGACCAGGGTGGTGGTGCAGCCACTGGTGGTGGTGCAGCCACTGGTGGTGGTGCCCGGTGCTGGCCGGCCCCGGCAGAGGTGCTGGGTGGTGCAGGGAATGGCACACACCTCTCCTTCCAGCCTGACACGACGCAGGGGCCCGGCAGGGGGCGGCCGGCCCGCACCATCTGCTGCCCTGGCCTCCAGCCAACCACCGGGCAGCGGGTGGGGATGCARGGCAGATAGGGTGGACAGGCCCTAGAAAGCGCCCAGGAGGACTTTCCTGCCTGGCTCCCAGAGCCCCACACATGCCCAGGGGGCCTCGCCAGGAACCTGCCCTCCTCTGCCAGGTGAGGCCAAGACTGGAACAGAGGCCTCAGACCACTGTCCCTTGGAGGCCTGTGGCCAGGGCTGGGCCCTAGGGTAGCTTTTCGGGCCACACGTGTTCACGCTGTGCTCCGGGCTGCAGAGGCACGCACAGCTCAGGACCTCACAAGGTCTGGCTGCCAAGGAAGGGCGTTCATCAAGTGGGGTTCCCTCTGTTCCGCCACTCACCGAGGAAGGAAGACCAGGTGGAACCTTCCGGGCCTTCTTGGGCTGCACCTCTGTTGAGAGAGAGAAATGAGAAATGCCCCTCAATGACCATTCCTGCCCCTTGGACACCTTGTCACTGTTGGGGACCGGTATGGAGCAGCTCCTGCCCTGGAGCAGAGGTCTTCAGGTCACCCATTTGGTAAAGTCAAACACCTTGGCTGGACACCTGGTCACTCCTGTCACCCCAGCAACTCAGGAGGCTGAGGCAGCAGGATGGCAAGTATCAAGCCAGCCTGGGTGAAAGGACCAACCAAGACTGTGAGGCTGGGGCCAGCTCGCGGCACGGCACCCGGGTTCAATCCCCAGTCCTGCCAGAAAGAAGGGGCCTCAAGTCCACCCACACGAGTTTAAAGATGCAGAAACCCACAGCAGTGGGCAAGGAGTCTGGCGGGGCACACACCTGAAGTGCCAGGCCGTCCCTCTCAGCCACACTGTGGCCCCAGCTCCGTGCACACTCACCCACCCGGCAGCATCTGTGAGTGTGCAAGGCACTCGGGGCACTTTCTCCACCTGCAGGACACCTGCAGGCAGCGAAGGCCAGAACCACTGCTGTGCACCCTGCGACTGACCCCAGCTCCTGTGCTGCCCACAGGGCCCAGGACAGCCCTGGGTCTGGCTGACTCAGTGTCCCCAGGCACAGTGCTGAAGGCTCAAAGGGGCCCAGGTCCACCTGTTGTGTGGACGTGGGCGGCTGGGCCACGCGGGCTGGAGAACAATCAATCCAGCAAAACGCTCCAGGACAGGTGGCTCAGTGGCAGGCGCCTGCCCAGCACGCGGGTCCTGGGCCCCATCTCCAGCGCCACTCAGACAGAGAGGCATGAACAGAGGCCCAGGACCCATGGAGACCAGCAGTCTGGAGGGTCCTGGGAAGCGGCCCCCAGTCTGTCTGGGGAGCCATGGCCCAGTGTCCGTGGCCTCAGGCAGAGGGAGGCCCACTCTGTGCCTCCCACCCTGCGTGCCCAGACCCCAGTCAGGATCTGGCATCGCCCTGGCTACTGCCCTCCAAGGCCCTGGCCGGCCCACTCACCCAGGCCGCTGTCCGCAGCTCTCCGCCGAGGGTTGCTGGGGTAGGAGGAATAATACTGGGAGCTGCCCTTGCTGCCAGGGGGCGACAGTGGCCCGGGGCTGCCGAGGGCCAGCTCACCAGGCAGGAAGCCGGCCTGCAGGGACAGCAGGAGGCAGAGTCACTGTCCACTCCCCATGCCAACGCCAGTTAGACACCCATCAACTACAAAAGGTCAAAGTCACTCAGACGTCTGGGGTGGCCCAGCCCTGGGGGCAGGGGGCTCTCCTGCTGTCTGGGGACCTGGCTTGGGCAACACAGGCACCAGGGACTGCAGCTGTGGGCATGGCTCAAGGCTGTTGGCATCCGATGGCCACCCGCTCTGGCTCTGGGCTGGGCACCGCTGGGCCTGGGAGTCATTCTTCCTGTGTCCTTTCTTTCCTACCCCAACAGCTTGGTTCTTGCACACTGGGTCGAGATGGACTTCTGTCCCTGGGGTATCAGGCCACCAAGGAGCCTCCTGTTTGCCCTGGCCCCTGGTTCGCAACCCACTTCTGCCAGGCTCTGCTCTCAGCAGTAACGCTGCAGGCTGTCCCCACCATACAGGGCCCTGTGGGGCCTGGCAGGCCTGCAGGTGTGACCCTTGCACTTGGCTGGTGTCCAGCAGCTTAGGGGAGCCACCTCAGACAGGCCAGGCTATACCCTGGGACTGGGGAGGACGTGGTGGGGACAAGAATGAAATGCCTGGGGGTGTGGGGATAGATGTCTCCCAGGGGACAGAGAAGGGAGGCCAGGCTGGGACCACTGAACTGGCCCCGGGCCCTGCTGCCCTCACTCACATGAGAACCAGGTGGTGAGGTTCTCATCTGGGCTGGGGCAACCCCTGGGTGGGCTACCCCTGTGAGTGGCACAGGCGGCCAGGTTTGGGGGTGGCTTGGCCTGGTTTAGACCCTAAGTGGGGAGCCATGGAGAAGAGCCCCCACCCACAACCAGCAGCCCCACCAGGCCCAGAGACAAGGAACCCAAACAAGGGGCCGGGGAGGGTCGAGCCGAGCACAGGCTCTGGACAGGGCAGCTCGGCCGGCCACCCTGCACCCCTCACCTGAGTCAAGCTGCCAACACCAGCATCTCTCCCGAAGGTGGCGTAGGCGCCTCGCTCGCCGCCCTTGCCTGCAGGGGAAGGAGGTCACTGGGGCGGACCCCGAGGAACGCAGGCACCCAGCTCTAGAGCAGGCCCAGGGCACCTGGCGCACGCAGGGGGCGGAGCCTCCTGACAACTGGAGCTGCTGCCGCCAGCCTGGGAGACAGTGCTGAACTCCACCGCCTCATGCTTCCCTGGCTCAGGGCCCTTCACTTCAAGGCTAGGGTGCCACCTCCCTGGGACGCCAGTGGCAGATCCGTCAGGGACCTGTGCTGTGTGCACGATGCCCACTAGGCCAGCACCCAGGCCTGCGGCTCCCACAGCCAGCTCGGGGGCAGCCCAGCCTGCTGGCCAGTGGTCCCTCTGTAAACCAGCATGTGAGCCCCACTTAGCCACAGGCACCACCCTGGATGCTGCGTCAAGCCACCGGGAGAAGAGGCAGGCAAAGTCTGGAGCTCTGTAGGGGACTGAGAGCCACCCCCCGCACAGGCTCCGGCACTGCACGGATGCCTGGATCCAGCCTCGCCTGAAGCAGCGTCCCTGGAATACTCGGCACCTGAGCCATCTAAGTTCCCCTTGCGCTTAAACTGGACACAGAAAATGGCTGATTGCAGGAGTGGGAGGCAGGGTCAGTAAGAACCTTCTCAAAAAGCAGTCAGAACACTTGTCCACTGAGGTTAATTATCTACAACTGGGAGAAAACAAAACCCCTTGACTTCTGTAAAAGAACATCTCCTAGACTCGTGGGAAGAGGTGCCAGGTCAGTGACCAGGGGCAGCGGGTGAGAGCGCCATGCTCCAGATGCGCCAGGTGCTGTCCGGGGCCTGCTCCGCTCCTCAACAGGAACCCTGGGGTGGGGTTCCTGGGAGCCCACTTGCCCTGCCCAAGTTCACAGCTGTGAGAGGGCAAGTGGCAGGGGAGGCAGGACCCGGCCAGGACCCAGCTGGGCTCTGGACACTGCTGCCCGCGTGGGAACTGCCCGCAGCCCTGCTCACACCAGCAGGAAGCTGAGGAGGCCAGGAGGAGGAAGAGGGAGAGGGGAAGCCAGTGTGCTGCAGGTGCAGGGCCACCCCAGGTCACGCAACGGGCCAGGCCTCGCAGCCTTTGGCTGGGACAAGGTGGGGGTGCCCAGCTGTACCCCTGGCCATGAGGCCGAGCAGCTCATGCAGCAGTCCCCACCAGAGGCCAGCAGCACATCCGGCTCTCCTTGGGCCTCGACCTGTCACCAGACTGCCTCCAGACCCAGCCCCACGGGACAGCCGTGCTAGCTGCAGCCTAAGAATCCCCCCATGACAGAGCCCTGGTCAGCACCTGGCCGAAGCGCAGGCCTGAAGGCCACTTTCTGTCCACTCTGGCTGCTGGGGCCTCGCACCACCTTCCCAAGTGGCCAAGACCCACACCTAACTCCCACACCTGTTGCTGTGGGCACCGCCACAGGCCCCTGCCCCACAGAGCCAGCWGGAGGGGTCCAGTGCCCTGATCAGTCCTGAGGCTGCCACCAGTCCACCTGACTAGCCACTCACCTCCAAGTCCGGGTCCCAGGAATGTGGACGAAGAAAGGCTGCCGTGGGACTCGCTGAAGTGGGTGCCGTCACTGTAGGCCTAGGAGACGGCTGGGGTGAGGCCCAGGACGCCACCCAGCACCTCAGAGCCCCCCATCAACGTCCCTCCCACCCAGCCCCAGCTTCCTCACCCACCCCTCACTCAGGGGAGGGAGACCCAGGGTCGTGGGCTACAGGGGATCCTCACCCGGCTGGGGTCAAAGGAGGAATTGTTCTGGTCACTGGTGGCCCAGGACCCTGAGCTGGGCCGGTCCTCGAGGCCTGCAGGACAAGAGGTGGTCAGGGGCCACTTCAGACCTGCTGGCTCTAGCCTGCAGTGCCCAATGTCTCTGGGGAGGGCCACACGGACCCAGGGGCTCACCTCACAGCCAACGCCCTGGAATCCTGGGAACTTGGTGGGCTCAGGGCTGCCACTCGGTAGCACTTCTACCACCTGTCGTTCCCAGCAAACTCCTGCCCATCGTCAAGACCCGGGGCCCCACTGCTATGCTAGCTTCTCCCCCAGCCCAGGACCCCCCTCGGTCCTACGTGGACTCTCTCTGCAGAGGCGCCTTGTCACGTGGGATCTGAACAAAGGCTGCCCTGCAGGGCTTTGAGCTCTGCGCTGACCCAGGGAAGGTGGGACCTGACCCAGGGGAGGAGAAAMGGCTCCAAGCCAGACACAAGCCCAGGCCTCAGGCAGGAGCCCAGAGGCACCACCAGGCCCAGGCAGGTGCCAAGCCGCCAGGCCACAGGACCTTGTCCCAGGGTGGGGCGGGGCGGGGCCCTTATCTCCCCAGGGACAACAGCCCAGGAGGGCAGGGGCAGCCCAGGGTGCCTGGCTCCCTGAGGCTCATTCCTCCCCGTGGGAGGCACACAGAGCAGCCCCGGGACCCCTGGCCTGGCTGCAGCCATACCTTGGGCCTCAGCCTCCCTCTTCTGGGAACAGGGCTGGTGACACACAGCAGGACTGGGGTGCTCCTGGCACCACCAGAGAGAGTGAGGAGAGGGCTACAGTGGGGACTCCACGCAGACCAGCTCTCGCCTCAGTCCCCACTACCAGCCCCCTGGAGCTCTCTTGCTTAATTGCTGTCTAATTTGCATGATTATGCATATTAATTGGTCAAACTAATGAATATTCACATCCCATTAGATTTTGTTCAAATCTAATACTTCCAGTGACTACAGACAGGGAAGGGCCTGGGCTGGGACGCGGCCTTGGGGTGGGGGGGGCAGGCTCCTGGAAGGAAGGGTCAACCGAAGGAGCCTGGTACCTTGACGACCCTCCACACACCTCCCCAAGGGCACCTGCGATGCACCCCAAACTGCCGCCAGGCTGAGCCCGGGCACCCAGGGTCTGGTGATGGTGGGGCGGTCCTGGGGTCCCCACAAAGGCAGAAAGCCCCTGGCAAGGCAACAGACCCTGCTCCACACTTTCTGGAATGCAGAGACTGGCCCTCGCCCAACCCTTCTAGAAATGCCAAACAACAGGAAGGCCCCTCCGCCACCCACATTCACAGGGTTATTAACGATGCATTCCAATGACGTGACCATGAATATTCACACACAGTCCTTGGTGGGCGGAGGAATTACTAACAGGGTGGGAGGTGTGGTTCCAGGGGGGTGAGGCCCTGGGTCTGGGGCCTCAGGGTGAAGGCCCCACTCCCCCAGGACGCGGTGTGCTGGCCTGCCTGCGCCCACCTGCCCCGGCGCCCACCCAGGCTCCTGTCTCYACTCCGGTTGGCCTGGGGCTGGGCCCCCCACGCCTCTATGTTCCAGTTCTTCACTCCACTCTTGAGTGACAAGTGACCGTATCCCGGGCTGAAAAACGAGACCCTTCCCGCTGTGCTGTCCCTCACAGCAGCCACCTGCCCGCGGGGCCAGCAGGCTCAGGAAGGAGGTCCCATTTTATGTGATCATACAGAAAACTTGGGGTGGCACTGTAGCTCCGTGGCACAGCGCCGGCATCTTGCGTGGGAGGCACTGGGTTCGAGCCTCAGCACCACACACAAAAGATGAATAAAGATTATGTCTATCGAGAACTAAAAAACATTTCAAAAAAGATTTTTTCTTCAGTCTTCTGGATGGAAGCCAGGGCTTCATGCACACTGGGCAAGTGACCCACAACTGTGCTACCCCCCCCCCCTTCTCCTACTTTTTTGAGAGGATGTCACCGTGTTGCAAAGGTTGGCCTTGAGTTTGGGATCATCCTCCTGCCAGGAGGACAGGCGTGCCCTACTGCACCTGGCTCAGTGACCCTACGGGGGACGGCTGTGGGGCCAGCAACTGCAACCCAGAAGACTAAGGCACACTCACCCCACTTGCAGGCACCACGTGCCGAAGACACAGAAACAGAAACCTGCATCTGCACCAGCCCCGACTTCCTGGCCTCTGTTCCTGAACATGCAGTGCGGCAACCTGCACAGCACTGCACTGGGTCCCCCTCCTGGTGGTTCCAGAAAGCAGACCCAGGGCCTTGCCTCAGCTGGATAAGCACTCTACCACTGTGCTGCCCCCTCAGCCCTGGTGAAGTTACTGAGGCTGGCCTTGAACTCACGGTCCTCCTGTCTCAGTCTCCTGTGTGGCTGTGCACCATGGCCGGCCACACCAGGCCTTACCTGTCATCCAGGGAGGACTCAGAAGTCCGTGTGTGGGTTCTACGCAGCAAAGACGGGGCTATCACAGGAGAGTGAGTTGGGGGTCCTCAACCCAATCCCGGACAGGTGCCAAGGGATGCTTGAAATGGCAATTCTGAAACCCCCCCACCTGATCCTGTATATGATGGCTGCACCTAAACCCAGAACAGCAGCCCCTGGGCAGGGTGCATGGGAGTCTGCTCGTGAGAGCCAAGCAAGACCCCCAGCACCCAAACCTCCCCTGCTGACTCCTTCCCTCACACTTAAAATCCCTTTTTTCTTGGTAGCAGGAATTGAACCTAGGGGCAGGGCAGGCTGCGCATACAGTTCAGCTGGTGGAGTGCTGGCCTCCCATGCACAAGGCCCTGGGTTTAATCCCCAGCACCACATACAGACACACACACACAAAGAAGGCACTTAACCACTGAGCCACATCCCAGCCCTTTTCACTTTTTGGGATACAGTCTTGCTAAGTATCTAAGCTAAGCTTAGGGCCTTGCTAGGTTGTTGAGGCTGGCCTCTAACTTGCAATTCTTCTGCCTCAACCTCCGAAGTTGCTGGGATTACAGGCATGTGCCAATGTGCCTGGCCACTTAAAATCTTAAACAGGGTGAGAGTCCATCAGCTGCCAGTCTGGCCTGTCCCCTTCAATGACCTATTCCTCGCCTACCGGGGGCTTCTGCAGGAGTGAGGTCAGAAGGGTCAGAGTTCAGGGAGCTGCCTTCCTTGAGTGAGCTGGGGGCTCCCACCATGAACCGGGAGGTCTGCTCAAGATTGTTATGGGGGTATTTTTAGTTCCCATGCAAGTTCAAAGCTTAGGGCAGCACTACAAGAAGACCAAGATAACGCCACGTGTGGTGGCCATGCCTGTAATCCTAATGGCTCGGGAGGCTGAGGCAGGAGGATGTAAATTCAAAGCCAGCCTCAGCAACTTAGTGAGGCCCTGTCTCTAAATAAAAAATAAGGCCCAAGGATGTGGCTCAACTCCTGCATTCAATCCCCAATACCCCCCCCACCAAAAAAAAAGAAGAAAAAAGGAAAAGTGGCCCGGATGCGCCTGCCACCCAGACTCCCTGGTCCTTCCCTTCTGCATCAATGTTTCTGACCATCTTTCAGGTCTGTGCAACCTGCAGCTTGTCAGACCTCCCAGGCCGCAGTGGCCACAGGCTCTCGCCAACAGCTCCCAGCACTCTGGGAGCGATCAGAAGCAGGAGTGATCATGTCCAGCACTGACCACATGCTAGCCAGGCAAGTGCCCAGCCCAAGACAGGTGGTGGGCTGCTGCGGGTAGGAGACACCGGAAAGCCCCTAGAAACCTGCCCAATACTTGGGAGCCATAATAGCAGGGTCTCTGGCCTTCCCCTGAGCAAGCTGTAAGCTGTAGCTGAAGAGAAAGTGTGTCATGGCTCGGATGTGAGGTGCCCCCGACAAACTCATGTGAGACAACGCAAGAAGGTTCAGAGAAATGATGGGCTCAAGAGCCTTCACCCAGTCAGTGAGTAGTCACCCGATGGGACCGAGGGAAGGGTGACTAAGGGTGGTGGGGTGCAGCTGGAGGAGTTGGTAGGTATCTACATCTGGCAAGTGGAGTCTCCGCTCTTTGGTCATCACCTGAGCCGCTTCCCTCTGCTAGTCTTCTGCATGATGTTTTGCTCACCTGGAGGCCTGAGGAATACAGCCAGCCATCTAAGGGCTTGAGATCTCTGAAACTATGAGCCCTCAAATAAATTTGTCTACCTCCAGTTGTTCTGGTTGGGTCTTTTAAAAGCAACGAAAAAGCTGACTAAAACAGAAACTGATACCAGGAGTGGGGTCACTGATGTGACTAAACTGACCATGTGGTTCAGAAGTTTTTTGAGCTTTTTGGAATTGGTGGCAGGAATTTTGAGATGTTTAGCATTGCAAGCTGGAAATGCTTTAGGTTGTTTTAAGCAGGGCTTAATGGCAGATTCTGGTGTGAGCTCCGACCAGAATGCCAATAGGACCACGGACAATGAAGACAAGGTTCAAGAAGGTTCAGAGGAAAAGGAGGACACTGTTGGAATTTGGAGTTAAGGCCACCTGTGTTATGTTCTGACTGGGAAGTTTTCTGAGTTTTGCCCGTGTCCTGACACTTTCAGTGACGATGATTTTTAAAGAGATGGACTTCTTAAATCTGGCAAAAGAAATGTCTAGACAGCATAGTATTCAGGCAGTGGCATGAATATTGCTGGCGGCTTTTAGCCAAATATACTGTGATAATCAGGAACAAAATATTTGAAAAACTTGGGACTTGAAAAGTGGTCRTAAAACTGGGCCTAAGAAGTTGCAATTGTTAAAGGCATTAACTCCACTAAAGAAATGTTAAAGATTGTGCCCAGAGAGAATGAGAAAGATGGCAAGACCACACATCTCTCAAGCTCAGGGGAGTAAAGGTGAGGATTCTGGGGAAGAGACCAGAATCCTCGCCTCATGGGGCACCCTTCCTACACTAGGGGCCTGGGTGGTTTTTTCAATGTGTTCAGCCATGCAGACACCGAGAGGCCGCTGCAGCCAAAGTCCCTGGAGGTTTGGCTACTGCTTGATATGGCGGCTGACCCTGGTGTCAGCCGCATGGTGCTGGTTCTGCAGGGATGCAGGATGCTGGAGTCTGATTTCAAAGGAAGG